AAACCCTACCCTTTAGTTTTTTTTCTTCAGATAGAAAACATTTGTTTACCGACAAATATATGTACAAGTTTCTTAATTGAAAGTTTTTAAAAATGTCTTTTTTTAGATGTTACTTTTAAAAATACCATCATTTAAAAAAAAAAAATCAAAAATGCCATTAATAATCTATCATTTACTACAAAGACTGTCTCCAGATACCGAAAATATTATGAACCAAAGGTTCGGAAGTTTAAAGAAAAAAAAAAAGATATATTAATATATGGATTCTAATATATTTCGGCAGGTTCAAATGTAGTAGTTAAATTTGATTTGACTCCGCAGCTTAGTGTATATTCTAACTTTTTAGACCTGAATTTGGCTACTACAACTCTATATATAATAGTATTACATGGATGATATATGTATGACGAAAATCCATTGTTAACCTATTCTTTTTCTAAATTTTGCTCTTGCTGCAAACGAATTAATAGAGAACAATTTTCAAACAAAACTGTCACCAAAGTGTAAAGGATATTTTCTTGCTTGATCAAAAACCCTAAGATAAGTTTCAAAAAAAAAAAAAAACCCTAAGATAACCCCAAAATACTTATGAAAGTAATAGGTTAATTGGATAGTAAAAAATGTTGTATTTGTTTCTTTTTTTTTTCTCGATAAACTGTGGGAGTTCCGAATTTTTGACTCATAATCTCCTCGATACTTGGAGACAGTCTTTAAATATTCCGATTAAAGAATAATTCTCTGTCTCAAAAGGGATTTGAACCCGGAACACAAAGAAACTAACTCCTTTGTGCTACCACTAGATCACCACCTTTTTGGTAAAAAACGTTGTTTAGGATTATAAAAATGACATAGTAGTTTAAAACTACTCATCGAAGTGAATAATGTATACGATTACTAATTCACTGCGATATATAAAAAGTATAAACATATGATTAAAATTAACCTCGAATAAGTTAAAAAAAAAAAAAACTAAACGTCAAATTTATTGTCAATATAATCCATGCATCCATAAATTGCCGACATGCAAAGTATAACATACGCTTACAATAGACACTTATGCATTACCAGGTTTTGGAAGGTGTATACAACTTGATATTTTTTTTTTTTTTTTGTCATCATATCCAACTTGTTTCTAGTTTTCAAAAATTTTCCTTTTGGTTTAAGATAACCTTTAAAGACTACATTGACCTATTCATATTTATACTAATTTATTAACAGCCTCATGAGAACCAATTTATATGATCTCAATATAGTCTAAAATATTTGTTTTTTTGTTCAACTATAGATATAAATGGTAACTGTGGAATGTTGCTGGATGCAGAATTTGATGGAAATTTTTTATAATGTTTTGCATAATTTAGTAGAATAACTAATAATGCAAATGACAACTCCGAAATGTTATTGGATTCATAATCTGACAAACATTTTAATAAATTTGTTTTACAGAATTTAGCATAATAATTAATGATACAAATGGTAATTACGCATTTTTCTGAATCTGGCGAAATTACTTAAAGAACAAAATAACTAAAATTTGATCCCGTTAAATAATTAGAATAACTAAAAATAATTGTAAAAATATAATTAGAAAGTCACTTATTTAAAACAATTTAGTATTAAATATCATACACTATGTTTTGCAACAAATTTTGAAATATTAGGTTTGGGCTTTTGAAAATATTAAACTTTAGTCCAGAGTAACACTTCATTAAACATATATTCACTTCGTTTCATAAAGATTTGAGTTGTCTATCTGGTATTGTTCACATGTCAATGTTTTTCTTATACTACCCATTTCATTACTTTTGTAACTGTATAAAATTTCACACAAAATAATACTTTATTCGTTGAATTATCTGTCAACAAATTAACCATTAAAAGTTAATCACTACATACATAAACTAATAACGCACTTGCAAAAAAATAGTATTCTATTATATAACGGGAGAGTTTTCTCTCTTAAAGTGTCCACATCACCTCATAAAAAAATGTAATTACATTGAATTTAAAGTTTTATGACTCAATTAATTTTATCTTTAAATTATTGTTTTTTATTTAATTACCATACAACATATAATATTTACATAAAACGAAAATTTATAAATAGTACAATACAATAAAAATAAATAGAGATTACAAAAACTAAAATAAAAACTTTGATACAAAACTTAATATAAATATTTCCAATGTTAAATTGGTATGCAACAGGAAATTGAAAATAAAATATTACGGATTTGACTGGTATACAT